AGGGTGTGAACACAGATGGAATAGAGAAGTGTTGAGGGAAGGAAATGTAGAGAAGAACTAAGAAGACTCACAAAGCAGAAGAAAAAAGAGAAAGAAGGATGAGGAAAAGAGAAATAAAAGCTAAAACAGCAGCAAGAACAAATTGTATTCAAAAGTCCCTTTACATGTATACTGAAATGACTAGGAATGGATGGGCCATGAGGATGAGGTATTGCCAGGGTCATTATCAATAAGGCCGTACTATAGATTTCAGTGGTTAATGCAACTTCCACCCAACTGTCTTGTTAGGCAACAGAAAACCAATGAGAATGGCACGAATTTTGGCTAACATAAGGACAAAGCACACTTAAAAACAATGACAGGGAAAGCAAAACATTTTGATAAATTGAGAACAGACCACCTGTGCTGGAGGAAAGGAAAATATCTACATCTAACTCCCTATAGCTCCCAGCAATTTTATTCGAATCTAATCGGTTCTCCCACTGGAAAGTGAATCATTCAGTAGAAGTATCTGATGTGGCAGTGAAGGTGATAGGACTGCTTCGGATTCTCAGCAAAGGAAAAGTTCAGAATCTCCCTTAACACTTTCATTTAACTATCAAAACAAAACAATGATTTGTAAAGTATAAAGAGGCGATCATGAATTCATTTTGTTACTGCTTTATGCTTTTTCTCTATTAAAAAAAATACCAAAGTAGCTGTACTTCCGTAAAATTGCTTATAGCATCTTCCTCCCTGAAAACTTACCAGAGAAAGATTTGTGCATATCACCAAGTGATTCCGAAAGACAGTCTGGGGGCAGTGCAGGCATGATGTTTCCCAAATGCTTGTATTTCCAAGGTGAAATAAAGAAGAACGATGTAAGTTAAAATGTTAAAACTTGGGAATCACAAAAGTGAAGTGCAGGGAGCTCTTGAACAGCTTTCTGAGAAAGAAGATTCATTTCTTCATGTTTATATTGTCTCCTTGGCTACACAAATGCAGATACAAATACAGTGTTAAGTCCCTATAGCAGTCAAAATATCAAGAATGTTCAAACCTCAAAAAAGAAACAAGGAAGATATGCTGAAACAAGGAAGATATGCCAAAACAGGCTGAATATATATATATGAGTATATATGGATATATATGAATATATATATATATAAAACATATATATATAAAAGATATCTATCCTAAGAAGTTCATTGCTTGTTACAGGTGATTATTGTGTCTCATTCAACCGTTTAATATGTCCGATATTTTAAACAATCAAGCTTCTTAGGTGTGTGTGATTTCCGCTATTGGTTTGTTAAGATATTGCCACAGGATAGCAGGTATTTATTTTTGTATGTATACACTGAATTTGCTAAAAGTATCAAATTTTGTCATGGCATATATGGCTTTATATCTCTTTGGACAACAGAGCATATAAAAAACTGCAAATTACTGAACTGCAGTTCACAAATAATGAGTTTCAGAGTTTGTTGGAAATCTTGCCATAGAATTACCAATGCTATTAGTCTTACTTTGCCACACATTTGCTGAGATTACAATGTCTCTGTTGGAAAGAAGAAGAAGATATCAGCAAATGAAGGTAATTTCCCAGGCAGAAGTGAAAAGACATAGAACTCCTTTGTATTATCATACTGCTGTAGGAAGAAAGAGCCTGATCTGGCCCACTTCTCATTTTCAATCATTCCAGGATGTTTTCATAAATGATTGCTTACTTGTTCCCAATTCCAATTGTATTAAGTGTGGCAAAAGGGGAGGAGAAATATATGAGGGCTGCTCCAAAAGTAATACCTTCTGATTTATGATGTTGGTCCATGACATCAGAGGCAGACTTGGTGGTACGGCAGTAGAGGCTGAACCCTCCCAACAACATCCCATCATATGTTGTTGCTGTGATGGCAGCAAAGGGACACTGACAGAATGGCATCTGGCATGGAAGTGTGTGTAAAGTAAAGATGTGTCATTAAATTCTTCCATGGAGAAAAAATGGCACCCATTCACATTCATTGATCCTTGCTGAATGTTTCTGGAGACCAAACAGTGGATGTGAGCACAGTGAGGCAGTGATAATGTGTTGCAGCAGTAGCAACCAGCCTCACTTCTGCTGATGACATCTGGTAAGAGTTTGGCATACAGGCTCTTGCTCATTGCTGGTGAAAATACATACCTAGTGGTGATGACTGTGTAGAGAAACAGTGTTTTGTAGATGAGAATCTGCTCTATCAAATGGTGTTACTGTGCTCTTTGTTGTTTATTACTATATACTCAGTATTTGTAAATCGAGCCCACTACTTGTATTTGTGCTCTTGAAAACATGGCTACTGATGCCTAAAAAAAGATAAATTAAAAACACACCCTGCAAAGGCTTCTTAAGGAATAAAAGAGTAGAGTTGACACTGATCTTGGGGAAGTCCTTGTTTAGATTTGATCATTATCTTTTACCTCCTGTCCTCCTCTAACGATTGCGTTCATTAAACCCAAGAGAAAATAAAATGCCTTAATTTGAAAAAGCTACACAAATATGCACTTGTCAAACAACGTAACCAATATCTAGAAAACCTAGTATGTTGTTTTGAGCATACTTGCAGCACCCACAATGTTCCCTGAGGAACAAGCAAGCAAATACATGGCTTTTATAAGTATGGAAAATTACCATAATCTAATCCCATTTTGCAAGGCCATATGGCCAACAAAGCAGATAAGACATATGTGATAGCAAGAGGTTAAAAAAAATCCACTTCATTATTTTCCAACTTTTTGAAATTATGAAACTTCCAGAAGAAAAGAAAATGGCAAATGGTAACATTTGGGAGTGGGACATCACTCATAGACAGGAAGCAGCATGAAAGAAGATGAAAACAACAAAAAAGGAAAGAAAAAATGGCTTATGGAGGGTTTATTTTGCCTTTGAAGGAGGCATCAGATATTTACTATCACTTGGTTACAAGTAATGGATATACCCAAAGTTGTGCAGGTGTTCCAGGGATTTTCAAACTATGATGATACTTCAAAGCAGTGTAGTTCTGGTAGGGAACACTGTGTCAACGCTGAAAAGAGATGAATTCAGCATAGGAAAACCCCTTCAGTCAGATCCTGCAACTGATGCAAGTTTTGCCTAAATAGCCAGTGAGTGAAAAACATGTAGCAACTTCGGTATTTAGTTCTACAATTGTATGACTGAACACATTTAAAATCAGAAACTATAATGAAGGATGACTCAAATGAAGGAGCTCCCACAAAACCTATTCAGAAAACTGTAAGCACCTCTGTAGTAACAGCTGTCCACTGAAAAACACTGCTGGTTGCTCACTAAGGCTCAAGGACTCCAGCTGCTCAACTTTGACCCAAGAAATGCGGTAGTGTGTCATTTGTCTCTGATTCTCACTACATCCTACACAGGAGCAGATGTTAGATTTCAGTCTTTTCTTATAGCTGCCAGTATTCAGACTCAACAGCAGAATAGAAACACTCTTATGACATACTCTTATGGTAAACTGTCTGCACTCATGTAAGTTCATTTAAACACTTCTACCCTTCAAGCTAAGAGAAACCATTCAGCCCATTCATTTACCATTAGACTTCCTACTCTTTCCTCTCTTTCATGCTGAGATAGCAAAGACAAATGCAAATCTTGTACAAAGTAGCCACTCTCCCCTTGTCAGAGGATACGCATCAATTTCACTTGTTTTGATCTCATTTCTTTTATTACAATTGTGTGCACCAAGAACAAAATCAGAACAGCATTTAAGCTGTTAAGCAACTTCATAACTTCATATTGGTATTGCTGGGCTTATTATTATTCTATAGATAGAATGCACTTTCATACAGGAAGCAGAATCCTGGTTCTACTGAAGTCTGAAGAAATTTTACTGTTGACTTCAAGTAGGGATCATTAACTGGGAAGTAGAACAGTGTGTGTGCTTTCAGAGTGAATAGTCTGATTTACACACTTTATTTTATCCTTTGTCTTTAGAAAGAAGTACATTGGCTGGCAATGAGAAAGTGAATGGTGATTTATATTCTATCTTAAAGTCTCTTCCTCTTTCAGGGAAGCTAACAGCATAATTAGCTGCTGCACAGATAGCTGTGGAGGTACTTCCAGATTAGACTACCCGATCTCTTTGTAGCCTTTCCTTTCTGAAAGGGCAGGGAATTGAGCTTATTTGTGGCTCAATTTCTCAAAACAGTGCATTTCAAAATACGTTTAATTTCATAAAGAGAAAAACTGTGAGACTGTTTGTCCTGAAGAAATTAACTTTTTTTTTTCCTTTCTTTTTTTTTTTTTTTTTTTTAAATCTTTGTCACTGAACTTTCCAAACTAAGTTTTCAAAACTGAAAATCTGGAGCGCTGCAGATAAAATCTAGAAGTTTCAATGTTTATCCATATTAAAAGTGAGCTGAATGCTTAGAGTGACATGCCAGTATTCTGCATAGCATCCCATCCTAAATAACTATGTGTTGAAGAAGGAAAGAAGTTTCAAGGTGCTTATGTAGGAAAGAGAAAAGGTCCCAGTTAGATATTTAATTCAAAAATTTTCCAGGTCCTTCCTCCCTTTTTACTTATAGTTGACATGAAAATGAGATCAACTACGGCAAGGTCAGAGAGAACAAAAATAATAGGGAAAAGCATTATTATAAGCTTTATGTTCTCTGAAGATATTTAAAGAAGACTCCTTATGTATGACGGACGTATTTCTCAGACAGTGTCCCTTCTACAGCTTCTGCAGGACGCATAATTTTTATGGAATTAAGTTCTTATCATGGTGAAGGAAAGGTTTGCTACCAGTAGAAAAGGAGACAAGATGACAGGCCAGATTTACTCTTCCCTCCATGAATTTGTACATTCCAGGGGTTCGGCAGTTTGAAAGTAAAAAGAAAAATAGCAAGATTATGTGTATCTAGGCTGTAAATTTGCACTTTTCTTCCCCTAATGGATGTCAATTTTCTGCTTATACAGAACTTCTCTGAGTGTGCTGTTTACTAACTTTTTAAACTTTCCCTCATAGGGTCCCATGATGTGTGTAGCCATGGACAGTGGAATAAAACCACGCTCTCAGTGAAAGCCATCAAAGGTCAGTTGTGCAAGGAGATTGTTTCTTTCCAGTAATTTCAAGAAACTCTATCATTTCTGTCATAATTCTGTGTTCCAGATAGATTGAAACTTTACATAAAACAGGCTGTATAAGAAGGGAGGAAGTGGCAGCCAAGAGACAAGAGAGCAATTAGACACAACTCACTGTCATTTTGGCAGCATTTCAATAATCCGACACAGCCAGTAAATAACATAGCTGGGTTCTCAATCGCTAAGAGCTTTCTGATGCATGTTATACTAGTTCTGTATGAAAAGAATGAGGTACACAAGGAGAAAGACATTTGAGGGACAGGCCCATATTTTGAAGGGTAGATTTAGGTCTACATGTACATTTTACGTACTAATTGCGTGAGGTTATCACTTGTTTAAAATGAAATTTGAAAAAACCTTTTTCCATTCTTTGGAACAAAGTAGAATATTTTTTAGTGTTCAGAAAAAGGTCAATCCTTTGTATAAAAAGTATGTTGAGATCTGACAGTTCCTTATTCTGCCTAGTTACTTAGGGTTGACAAGGAAACATAAGAGAATGCAAACTCGCTTGCAGCCCTCTCCAATGAAATGCACATGTATGCATACACACACCTTTATATGTTAAATATAAATATGCAAATGCACACTCATATGTGTGCATATATGTACAGTGCCCCCATACATATTCTACCCTAGCAACAAGTTAGGGACTGAAAGCCACATCCTGGTATAACTAGTAGATAGCTACCCTGGGTTAAATTGATTTTTTTTGCTTGTTTTTGCACCATCACAAGTGTTTTAACCATCATCCTTGAAGAGATCCTACAGTTTTCCCTTCTTTGTTCCTCCTCTTGCATTAATTGATCCCTTTCTCTAAAGTTTCCATCTTAAAGTTTTGTCACTGAGCCTCCAGATTCCCATGATATTTATTCATAGGTAGTTCTAGAATCTAACTAACTTCCAAACAGAAGTAACTTGTTTCCAAGCAACTTTTTAAGATGCCTTCTGTTGTCCACACCCTAAGTAGGTCACTGAGATGCGCTTTTATCTATCTTTAGAAGCTAGTTTATCCAGCACAGAACTTCCTGAAAAAGAAACAGGGGTGTCTTCAGTACTCTAACCACCTTCATACTCTCCACCCAACGTTTCCAAGAATGGTGCTGTAAATAGTATCAATGTGTCACAGATGACAGAGGGAAAATTTGTTCTGTTTTCCAGGCTAATCTCCACTTGGTTGGACAGATGCACGTACACAAACACAGACACACGTACACACACTTGGATTAGAAGTATTCCCAGAAAGCCAAGGCAAACGGTAGCAACCTTGTATAGGGTGAAGTTAAATGCATAACCAGTATGTCAGATGAACTCCTAATTTAGGAGATGTACTCCAAGAAATGCTCTCCATACAACCAACAATGCAAAAATTTGCCAGGGGGCAGTTATTAACCTGCATTGTCATGACATTGGAAATGATCTGAGCATTCTCAGGTGTCAATTACACAGGGAACCTCGGGGATGGTTGAAATGAATTCCATGTTTAGTTTTAAACAGGGAGATTTGTGCTCTACTTCAGAAAAACAGAAAAAAAAAACATAGATAAGGTCCATAAAACTGAACGCACTTTGGAGAGCAGTCAGAGGCTTTTCCTCCCCTGAATTTGCCAGGTAAATATCACTAGTATTAAAACAAAGAAAATGAATCAATCTCCACCTTCTTGTTACAATACAGAGTGAGGGAAGCCAGGAAATACAGCGCAAAACCTGATGGTACACGGTGTCCTTAGATCACTTGCCATTGTTTTCTCTCACAGCAGCACATGCTAATGATACAAAGAAGTTTAAAGTTTTTGGCTTTGACTTTTCATGTCACAACCATAATAAATGTGCACATTATTGTTTGTATTGCCATATCCTTCAGATGCACCGCCAATTTCTAGAGCCTGTTCTTGCACAGCCAAGGACAGGACTTTGCCCACAAATAGCCTGGCTGAATTCAATTAAGTATGAGCACTGCCATGCAGATCCAGCTGCTAAATAGAGAGTCACAGTACAACATGTTTATGTTACAAAGATATTGTGTGAGTCAAATCTGATTTAAACCACTATTCCTACCACAGGAAGACCAAAGATTTTTTGTTCTCCTCTGGCAAATTTCATTCTGTTTTAGAAGTTCTTCATCTTGTGTGATCATAAGCAAGGCATCCTTAATTGCGTTTAATTAAAAAAACAACCTCAAAATGAATAAGCAAGACAATAAAGTGTTAACCCCAAGAGAAAAGACAGAAATAAAAATGTTTGTTTATTTGTTTTAAGGAATTAAAAAAGAAATAAGTATGATGAAAAACGAAGATGCAAATTGTAGTGTGGACAACACACAAGCTTCTCCCTTCTCCCGGTGCCTACAGCCACTGAGTCCTGTTGCAAAGCCACACAGAACAACTCATTTCGGTGAAGAATTCAGACAGCATCTTTCACATTTCCGCTATGGCCCTCCTCCTCTTGGAGACATGGAAAGTTTCCAGGGGTCCCTGGAAGGAGGGTCTCGGAAACGCAAGAGCATGCCAACAAAGATGCCCCCTTCTATCGCTCTTGAGGGCTCCTCATCCCCACCTCACAGACTTGAAGATCACAATGATATAGATTCTTCCGGTCTTCCTATGGTGTTTCAACAACCAGCACAGCCAAAGTACAGTTCCCAGATGATTGATCTCTGCAACTTTGGTTTTCAGTTCTACAGATCTCTGGAGCCCTTTGGAGCCAAGTCCATTAAGCAAGAACCAGTGAAACCTAATTTGGCATGGCCTAGTAGTCCAGCATTTGTGCAGGCTCCTTATCCTTATTATCCTAAAGTCCATCCTGGCTTAATGTTTCCTTTTATCATGCCCCCAAATCTCCATTTCAGGAACCCTTTTCAGATGAAAAGGCCTCCAGAACCACCCTTCCGAAGGGCTGAAGTAAGAGAAAGTGGTGAAAATAAACAGAAAGTAGAAAGAGTGGATGTCAATCTTCAAATAGACGACAGCTACTATGTTGATGTTGGTGGTGAACAGAAACGCTGGCAATGCCCAATGTGTGAGAAGTCCTATACATCCAAGTACAATTTGGTTACACACATCTTGGGGCACAGCGGCATTAAGCCGCATGCTTGCAATCGATGTGGCAAGCTTTTCAAGCAGCTGAGCCACTTGCACACTCATATGCTAACACACCAGGGCACGAGGCCACATAAGTGCCAGGTGTGCCACAAGTCTTTCACTCAAACCAGTCACCTTAAGAGACACATGATGCAGCACAGCGACATCAAGCCTTACAACTGCAGGATCTGTGGAAGAGGCTTTGCCTATCCCAGTGAGCTGAAGGCACACGAAGCTAAGCACGAGAGTGGCCGAGAGAACATTTGTGTGGAGTGCGGTCTGGACTTCCCCACGCTGGCCCAGTTGAAGAGACACTTAACAACCCACCGTGGCCCAATACAGTACAATTGCACTGAATGTGATAAGACCTTCCAGTACCCGAGTCAATTGCAAAACCACATGATGAAGCACAAAGACATCCGTCCATATATCTGCACTGAGTGTGGCATGGAGTTTGTACAGCCCCACCATCTCAAACAACACTCTCTAACTCATAAGGTAAGCCATCACATGTTGAACTCTCACCTTGTGTCACACAGAAGCACAGGGACTACAGACTGCTAAAAAGATGCCTATCTCCATCCTATAAAGCCTCATGCTGGCCCTTTGCCAGCAGTAGAATTTCATGCAGAACAAAAGTCCCAAGTGGTACTGGCATCAGTATAAGATAAAGATATAAGTCTTTGTCAGACTTAAGAAAGTATGTGCAAAAACATCTTGTTAGAGACAAGACTTCAATTAAGCCACCTGCATTACTTCCCACAGTCGTACTCTCTTTCTATTTCTGGGTTTTACCTTCAGAATGAGCTTCTGTAAAACAGCATTTTGCAGATCTGTCTAACCTCAAAAAAATTTACCAGAAATTTTCTTCTGAAAAACATACGTGTATCTTTGCTTCCCCTAATTGGGAAGAAGGAGGATATGCAGTAGGATGTGTGTGTGCAGCAGAAGAAAGTATATTACTCATCCAATTTTGAAGAGTCATTATAATGAGACATACAGAAGGGAAAGAAAAGACCCAAGAAAAATCCCCATTTGTGCATAAATTATCCAGAATGAAACTTAATGAAAGTGGACAAAGAGGACCATAATCCCGGCCCATTTGTATCAAGTGACAGTCTTATCACGGCTGTAAGGAATGACAGCTATTTCAGTTCACACTGGGAGCCAGCTCTGAGAAACATCCAGAAAAATCCCTTTAAAAATAGGAAATACTTACGTGTTCCATTCAAGAATGTATGAAATTAGGTTAACTACCTTTACAAAAATACAATAAAGACAAACTAAAAATCCACATATTTTATAAATATACTCCTTGTTCCGAATGTCTTTTCCTTTAACACTTAAATTTTCGATCTTTTACAAAAAACATTAAAAATACAGAAAGCTAAGATGTTTTAATTGTATAAACACATTTTCTCTTAAAAAAACCTCAGCCTCTACTTCCACATTTGCTTTTTATTTTCTCTATTTGCTGTTGCTATTTCTACTCTTTCTGGATGCTCCCTTGATTTACCATACAAAATTCTACTAATTTAAAACTTATTTTGTTTCGTTTCTGTTTTTGTTTTTGTTTTTTGTCATGGGAAATGCAATGTCCTTCACCCTTTAGAGAGCTACTGCTTCTTTGCTCACATCTGCAGGTGGATTCAGCTGCAAACATAATTAACAGTAGTTAGCTGCCCAAACGCATCCTTGAATCAAATAGCTTGATGCTTAGAATTGCTGGGCATATTCACAGCTTTAGCTTTGCAATTATCTCTGTGAAAACCACTGACTGGCACAAAAGTGACTGACATTTCAAGCCTTTTTTGTTTTATGGAGGAGTAATTGCTCTTGGCACTGAACTAATAAATTCTCACTACCTGCAACAAGTTATGCTCAGACTCTTAAGGTGTTTCATGGTAAATTCATTGGGTTTTGTAAAATCTAAAAGAATCACAGGAGTTGGCAGTTAGAGCACGTATGTCTGACCAAGAATATTGGATTTCATTTCAATGAATTGACTGCATGGCATAGAGGCTGTTAGAAATATTCTGTAAACACAAGTTAAAGCAGGGACACTCCATTAGGGTGAGTGTAAATTCCATAAGGAGTTAAAAATATTTTTTCTTCATTGAATATAATATGTAGATCTTTGGTTGGTGATATCATTTAATTATTTCTCATTTATTTCAGGTTATTTTCAATAGCTCTCTCTGCAAAACAGTAGTTCTTAGTTAGAAGCAAATGATGTTCAGTTAACATAGCCAAATACTTCTTTTATCTCTTAAGTGGTTAACTTTTACTTTTGGTCCATAGATGTGCACATTTGACCAGTGCTTCACATAAGCAGTAGAGAAGGACAGAGAAGCCCTGCTTCTACATCTCACTGCCATGTAAATTTAAAGATGGAGATAAAACTCCTCATTTCATTACACTCAGATATTGTTTTCCTTCTCTGCTTCTCAGGTTCTTGTAAGAATTTGCCAAGAAAAAGAACATAAAACAGAAGTATATACTGCTTGAACAAATGATGTTAAAGGCAAAATAATGCATTACCTGCTTTGCTAATGTAGAATGGATAATTCATATATTGCCATACTGAAGATGAAATAATTTAGAAACTGTTCAATCAACTGTTTTTTTTTTTTTTTTCAGGGTGTGAAAGAGCACAAATGTGGAATCTGTGGCCGGGAGTTTACTCTGCTGGCCAACATGAAGAGACACGTCCTGATCCACACCAATATCAGAGCCTATCAGTGCCATTTGTGCTTCAAGAGCTTTGTGCAAAAGCAGACTCTCAAGGCACACATGATTGTTCACTCTGATGTCAAACCCTTTAAGTGCAAGGTGAGTGTTATCTCCTCTGTGGCAGAGACATAACCTCACTGACTATTTCTGGGATATTACCACCTTCTGACACAACTGAATTTAGAAAAACATGACTTGCTCACATTCTATAGTTATATTTAAATTAGCATAAAACAGTCTGCTTTCCATTCTTGATCTAAAGCTCTGTTTAGGTAGCACACACACACACACACACACACACACACACACACACAAAAATAAAGGAGCTAAATTTCTGTGAGTTGCTCCCTTCCCCTACATTATCCGTAACTTTGATCCTGACGTATTGTTTCCCACATAGTGAGCATACAAATGCCACCACAGTTTGAGGGCAACAAACATACCTGACAGTTGTCCACAGCAGCCATCCAATCTGAAGTCTGAGTACTTCAGTTCTTAACAGCTTCAAGCACTGGCTAAACACACGGATCAACTTGGGGCCTCCACAGGGGACCATGGAAAAGCAGCAACCTGAACTTCACATAGCGATTCTGTGCGATAATTCAGGGAAGAACTCAAAGAAAATCACAGCTATACAGAACTGCAGAAGGCATTTGAATGGGCCAAATGTAGTCACCAGACTGAAACTCAAGGCAGTATAGCAAACTGGCCTCTGAGACCATTTGGGAATGGCAGATCACTGCCTCCCTCCAGCGCTTCGGAGGCTGACATTCCCTCTCCATTCCCTCTTCCTTCCCTTCCCCAGAAATTTTGGAGGCTTTCATTTTTTTTTGACTGTTTCCACCTCTAATTTCTTCCTCATGAGTTATTCATGCTTGCCTTTTTACCCAATATCAGACTTTACATCAATTATTTCTGCTTATTTTCTGGTCCATTATTATAATCATGCCTTATAAAGGCAAAGTTTGTGGGTTTTATTCCCACTTTGATCTGCTCTAAGAGGGCAGTAAATATGGAGAGGAGCATATTATCCAGTTTACAGTTAAGTAACAGAAGATTGATCTGGAAACAATTTCTATAACACTTCCATCCAACATCTTTATGGAATTAAATATTTTCTTAAATGGACTCTTTCATTCAAAAGCAGATCTAGATGAAAAAATATGAATGGAATTATTTTGTCTTGAAAAGCATAGAACTTCAAAATGTTATATGAAATTATTGCTTTCAGTGATAGTTTTAATTAGAAAATATCAAAATTAATATTTTTGAACTCATTTTTTTCATTGGTAACATTGGAGTACTTTTTTTCAAAGACTTTCAATGTCAGCATTTTGTTACATTTTAAATGTAATTTAAACATTTACGTTTTAAAATGTTATTTTGTATACTATCACTTACTCTATTAATATCAATATCAAAATATTGATAAAATAATTACTCAAGCTACTGAAAAGCCTGAGTAGTTTCACGCCAAGTCTGCTGGAAACTGTTATTCTCTGAACACACCTGCAACCCTGCATCCTCATTCCCTTTTGGACAAAGTCATCCTCTACCCTTCAAATTTCAGAAGAGAAACTCGATTGTTTGATTGGGTGTTCTGGATGCAGTATGTGGATCCATGCTATTTCTGAGAAAGGTGTGGAGTGGCTGGAAGCTTGTGTTCCTGATAGGGTTTGGTAATGACAGACTATTAAAGCTTAGAATGTCAACAGTGTGAGCCAGGAACTGGTGTACCAGCAGTGTAGTGTCCAGCCAGTAACAAAAGCTCTTTAGGAACAACTGTTTTTCTTATTTATTTATTTTTATTTATTTGCTTGTTTAATATTTTTTTTACTTCATCATCACCCAACATTCCTAGGAGAAAAGAAACTACAAGTTCAGTGAACCAGTATCTACTTTGGCTAATGGGGTATGAATTGACATCAATGACCCTAAATGGACTGGAGATCATAACAATAAGCAGAGGGAGAACATATGTTTTCTCTTTGGCACTAGGAACATTCCTAGCCTCACTGGCAGAGCCTTTGAAGGTCTCACAAGTTTTTCTGGCTGGTATTCAGAGGGTTAAGGCAATGACCAGATAGCAGCCTTTTGGCACCAAGCTCCTCCTCAGCAGAAGGAAGGATATAGCTGTATGAACAGCCTGCTTAACAATGGCTCACATGTCCCCAGGGAACCGCCTGCAAATAGATTTCATCTTGCTTTCTCTTGTACTTTTCAAAGCTTCCTGTTTTCTCACGGTCCTTTTGGACAGTTTACAGTCTTTCTCCCTCTCCCTCTCTCTTTGAGGAAAGGAACACCCTTCTTATGAAGGGAAAAAAAAAAAATAAAGAAGAATGCAAGGGAAAGAGAGCACAGCAGTAGCCTTTCTACTTTACCACATGCAGAGGTTTTCTTTACCTTTTTCTCACAGCAAAGAAAACATGATGCTTTCCTATGTGTCTAATCACAGCTAAGCACAGACTATCTGAAAAGAGGGAGCAGCAAATAGTTGCCCGTTCTGTTTCCTCACCCAGCTGAAGCCTGGGTCTGTGTTTCATTTTTCTCTGAAGAATGAACATCTCCGTGGCTTCTGAAGGCCTGAGACCATGTTTTCTTCTTATTTACTTTAAAAAAAAACACAGAAGAGTTCTGAAGGAGTTGCTCCAAATGGTGTAATAGTGCTCACTGCGTCTGTCAAAGGATAATTATTGAAATTTAAAGTTCCTTCTTGTGCAGAAGTTAATAATGCTCCTTATCAGCAATAAGGAATGTGCTGAAGTTTTCTCACATGCAGCCAGCCAAATATACATTGCAGCAGATATTTTGAACTTGCTACTGTAAATACACAGTTAAAAGTGAGCCTAAACAATTTTGGTTTATGACTGCATATCAAAATATCTTCTTTCCAAGTATGAAGGAGTGTACTTATTTTGGATGAACTGGGCCCTGCCATTGACTGGAAGCAATCTTGTATGAGACATAGTCTCTGTGCCCATCTGGCACTGCTTTTTCAGAAGTGTCAGTCACTTTTACCCACTGCACATGAAACTGTGGTTTTAGACCAGAAGTTTAAACCAAAGAAAAAATGAGATATAAGTACTTTGGGAAAAAACAAAACAGACTGAAAAATGTAGATGGGTGCTATTTCATGCAGTGGCTTAGGAAGAAAAAAATTATTGTTGATCTGAGTCAGCATTTCTAACACACTGTGCCCAGCCAGTGAATCAAAATGTGTTCAGCAGACTTACAGCTTATGTCTTTCTCTTTGGGATGAGAATGTTATTTTATCTAAACTGGAGAGCCTAAAATAAGGTCCACAAGTAACTATGCCATTCCTGTTATCTCAATGTCTTTCACATGAGATATCCATCCATCTGAATGCTCAGATTCTGCGTTTTGTTCTTTTCCATGGTTTTGGATCATCAGTGCTAGCAGCCCTGTCCTATAGAGGAAGTAAACATTTCCATCTTCCTAGTTTGGTCTGCAAACCCATTTGCTGTGTGTTAGCTGTAAATCTCACCTAGCACTGACTTGCTGTCTTTCAGCATTTGAGCCTTTGAACTGCTCCCTTCACACTCTGAATCATGGGCATTCATCTGAAACTTTTCTTGTGTCTTTTGCAAAGGGTAATTTACCAGATACCACGCCACATGGAGCTATCACCTCCCTCCCCCCCCAAATATTTTTATATCTGCACTTCTTTCATTTTCCTGCCACAAATCTCAGCTCTGATACCATTTTTTCATGGTCTTGTCTGAGGACAGGAAGAAATTACACATCCCTAAGATCATGCAGGACTTTGGGAAATGGGAAACCTACCTTCTTTATTCAGAGACACAAAAACAAAATACTGTAAGGGAATAACCTTTAGGAAGTTGCCTTGCTAGAAACAAATGTTGCTGCTATACAAATTTTAATACTCAGTATTCTATACAGACACAGATTTGCATGAAGTACTCTAGCCAATTGCCTGTTGAATCAGATTTTCCTCTAATATCAATACACATGGAAAAGACCTAACTATCAGAAAGCAAAAGTTGGTGAGAACATAGGTCAGACAGAATGGAAGCAGCCAGAAGCCTTCTGCTGAGAAGTGTTAGAGGAGTATTGTTATGGCATTCTTATAGGCAGAGAAATATTGACACATCATAGACTGTTGAAGCAGCTGTCAATATCCGCTCTTCTTGTGATTTTTCTCACAGTGTGCTGCTCAGTGCCTCTCTGTTTCCTCAGAGCACATTCAGAAGGTGTTTTTGTGCTTTCATTTCACTGACTATAATTCATCAGGTACATAAGCTTTCTTTGAACACAAAGGAGAGACAGCTGAGTGGATGGATGACCAATCATCATCAGATATCTTTTACAAATTCTTAACTCATTTTCAGTAGCTTTTTTTCCCCACACACTTTCTCTGGGAACACCTTGTTGATAGTTTATTAGCTGGAGTATTTTATTAAAATCATAGAAAGAAATAATGCGTCTGAAGTAAAATCATTTCAAAAGCAAATGAGTATTTCCAGAGTTTTTCCTTTTGAGGCATTCAATCAGTTCTGCTTGTTTTTAAAAAGCAATACAATACTTTTCAAAATTTTTATATTAGCAAACTGCTTTTCCATTTTGGTTTCAAGAGCAAAGATTGTACCACTACTTCATTGAAGATCGTTTCACCACCTCAATTCCATCCAAGGAATCAAAAGTCAGATTAGACCAAAAATTTGTTGGAGCCTCGTTAATTGCTTTTTAATCATTTTTTGCCAGATGACTTAATAAAATTCTTGTTACTTAGTCATAGTGACTATGTCTCGTATTGTAACAAAGACAGTGGTAGGATTATTCAGACAATAAAATTATTTGTGTAAAATCAGTGCAAAAAAAAAAAAAAAAAAAGAGGTAGAAGTAGGAAGCAAACACAGATTTTTACATAGGATGGAAATAACCACTTGAACATGAATAAAATTATAAATCCTATCAAGGAAAGACAAAAAGACAAGTAAGGCAAGAAGCTAATAGTACTGATGTCAAACTCCCATGTCTTGAGACTACATTTGATTTATAAGGGATGGAACTACAAAAGGACACATCTAGAAAAACAACAATGAAAAAAATTCTTTATTGTTTCATCAAAGGGAAACCTGTAGGATCAATGGCTCAGTTGACAGGAACATGCTTCAGGGAAAGCTGAGTCATTCTTATGGCCCCATGCCTGTTTAAATTCCAGCTTACTCACCAGAGACATCAAAATACAGCAGCTGGTAAACAGAAGATGAGAAAATCAAAGACAAAAGGGAGAGAAAGAGACAAAGAAAAAAAAAGGAATTGCTTTTTTTCCTGGCTTTAAGCAAAATGTGCAGTCATTTCCAGTACATGAAAGGAGAGGTGATATTCACAGAAACTTCTCATTTAATTACATGTCTCCATCTCTGCCTGGCATTATTTTTGAATAAAGGATAGTTTTATAATCTACAAACAAAATAGTTCACTGGGATAGAAAATTACAATTTCATTCAAGTCAAGAGCCTTTTGGGTTTCATGTTTAACTCTTCCCCACTTCTTACAACACTCCCCAGTTGTAAGTAATCCGTGACCATGTGTCTCTCTTGGTCACCACTTTTAAAGAGTGGCAGCAAAACAGAAAGCTCTTGAAAAATCACCCTCAACCATATATACTTCCCTGTAGAGTTTAGTATAATAAATATTAAATAATATAATATATATATATATAATAAATATATAATAAAGTGCAGCCAGAAGTTGCCAAGGCTTATGCTGGGAAAGATACGTTCTATTTGCTTTTAAAAATATTCACCTTGGAAAGTCTCCTACAAACTAATTAGTTTCATTTTACTGTTTTTGTTTGTTTGTTCGTTTGTTTGTTTGTTTGACAGCTGTGTGGAAAGGAGTTTAACCGAATGCACAATTTAATGGGACATATGCACTTGCACTCAGACAGTAAGCCCTTCAAGTGCCTCTACTGTCCCAGCAAATTCACCTTGAAGGGGAACCTAACCAGGCATATGAAGGTCAAACATGGGGTCATGGAAAGAGGATTTCATTCTCAAGGTAATATTTATGGGCAAAATTATTCTCTGAGAGGTTTGTACATGCATATCACTGATCTTACATGGGTCTTTCCTACAGACCTAAAATCTTATATCATAGATCCAATGCTATTGTAAGAGATTGAATGCTATAAGCCTGGGAGTTTGTTATTAATTATTTATTTTACTTCTGTGCTACAGATCAGAGCTGCCCAAGACAGCAACTCTGTTCTCTGAGACCTTTCAAACAAGATTTCTGATGACATAGAGGTACAGACTGAGATGGAGTAGTAGTTGGAGAGAAAATGAGACAGTGATGACAAGAAAGTCATTTTGGCACACTAAACTTGCCACTTTCAGATGATAGGGAGAATGCAATCAGTAGTGCTAAAGCAAAGGATTTATCAAGTCATAGCAAATGTTCTTGTACTTAGGCTCACAAGCTCCATCACTGCAGGAAAGGTGCAATATCAAAAGCCCTGCAAAGCTGCTCCTAGTAAGCAGCTATCCCTGACACAAATGATAGTGAGCAGGTGTGCATTCAGTTTTAAGACTCATTAGCACACACAGCTGGTCAGGACATTGATGAAATGGCACTTATCTTCCTAATGGAAGGTGTAATTACACTATTTCTGAATAAATTTTACAGTTTTGGGAGTATTTGACAGACCACGGCCTAGCAGCCATGAGCAAGCAGACATTTTGCCCCACACTCATCTAGTTTGTATGTTTTCTCTTACATGTGAGGTATCTGCACATGGTTTTAAACATGGAGATGAATAAATCCATAAATCCATTCAAAGCTGACAGAAGCAAAAAAACCTGGAAATTTTCATAGGTCTTTCTCATTGTTAATTGTATTCCTGGCTGAAATGGGAATGGAAGCCCATGTAGCTCTACATCCAAGAGCCTTTCTAGTCGGTATACGTTTGTTCTGTGCTATACTGATGAATCTGATCCTCAACAAAAGTCACAAGCTCACGCTCACATTACAGAGACACATGAATGAGAGAGGACAATCCTCCCTTATTTCAAAGTATATGGACTTCTGACCACTCTGGGAGTATTTTCTACCATGTACAGACACATTTCCTAAAATCAGCCTTATGTGCACAAGTGACAATCTATCTAAAGAACTGATGGAATTAGGGAGGATTGTTTGGAAAATTTCGGTATTAAAGATGTTCTGTTTGTTTAGTTTCTGGATAAATAATTATATCATGGGTAATATTTCACAGCGTTCCTCAAAGTCAGACTTTAATGCAACCTAACACATATGGGAAGCACATCTTCTAATGATATTTGGCATACAAAGTTCAAAGATTCTAACAAGTAATGGGATAAATGGCTCTTTTTTTTCCCTTTAGTCTCCTATAGCACTGTGCGAGTTACACAATTACTTGTAATTGAAGACAGCCTAAGTGCTTTTCAGTGTACAGAGATTCTTCAGCCCTTGAGGCTTATCAGACAGGAGACAATTTGTAAGGGCTGCCACCTGCTCACGAGCCATTTTAATGAACACAACACAGTTGCAAAGCAGCAGCTGCATCTAGAGTGGCTGCATAAATCCCACAGACATCAGATCAAATTACTAAGAGGAAAAAAAATCCAAGCAAATAAAACAGCTTTTATCATAGATTTTTGCTGCTGAGTGAAGTGCTCATCCCAGTAGTGTCACCTTTGTTTAAATTAAGATGGACTATGCCTGTAATATCTAAATTTTCCTCTGTGAATCCTGATGGTCAGAGCACATTTTGAGTCCACTGTTGCCTCCTGGGCAACGTCTGGGTTTCCCACAGAGAGGAGACTCTCTGACAAATATTAAGACAAAACAGACCAAGGACCACACTCAGACTTACACTGTGCAGCTCAAAATCATCATTTGCTTGTGATGATTTCCTCAAACTGAAGGACATAGATTTCAGTGACATTGGATGAGAGTGAAAAAGTCAATGGGAGATGAAGTTTTAGACTGATGGAACAGGATTGTATTTTCCCTTTATAGTAATATCTTTGAACAGGACTGTCTGCAGAGCAACCGTATTAAAACATTTTAAATCTCTTCCATTCTTCTGGAAAAAAAAAATACAAAAACTGGAACTTTGATTATGGTATGTGATGGTTTAGATCAAAGCCTGCACTAAAAAAATAGGAAGAAGGAAGTGGGTAGGTTCACTGGCAAAAAATAGTTTACAAGAGGCCAGACACTTCACTTTTATTCCTAGCTCTCTCTCAAGTGTCTGGCATGTACAGCAAAATGTTATGTGTGTCCTGACTTGGTTGCGAGGTAAATACTTCTTTTAACAGTATCTCAAAGGAGATGTAAACATTAAAGGGCTTGGAGATAGCTAAAAAGGTAAAACATTAAACAAAGGCCATCTCAGGCTTTATGTTTTAATCATGTACTGTATAGAAGCATTTGCTGTATGTAAACTGTTCCTTTTCTCCCCCTTTGAAACACTGCAAGGTTTTGGAAGAGGGAGAATTGCTCTGTCTCAGACAAATGTGTTGAGAAGCTTGGAACAGGAAGAGCCCTTTGATCTTTCCCAGAAAAGCCAAGGGAAGGGGATTTCATTTCATTCGGATGGTGAGAGTGCCAAGGGAAGTTCATGCCAAGAAGAAGAGGAAGACAACTGCTATGAGGCAGAGCAGTACAGCCCTGGTGTGTACCATCATGACAACAACAAGCTGTACGTTCCTCAAGATCTGTCTGGCAAACCACAGTGCATGATGAAGGGCTTCAGAGAGTCCTACTGCAGTGAGAAGGAAGAAATGTTAAGTGAGGGAGGACTGGAGAAGAGAGTAGGAGATTCTGACAATCAGGAGAGCCGAGGAGAGAGAGACCTTGGAAATGACAAGGAGCGCCTGAGCTTTAGAGCCTTTGAAAAGGCCAGTCTGGGGCATTCTCTCTCTGATTACTTGTATTTCAAGCACAGGAGCAAGAGTCTGAAAGAATTACTGGAAAGAAAAATGGAAAAACAGACAATGCTTATAGGCATTTAAATGGATGTTTGTTTTAAAACAGCTGGAAAATGAGAAACAAATAGCTTTGAGCATGAACTGTAATTTACTAGAGGTTGGAATTCTGCAGTAGTCTTTACAAATGAACAAGCCCAAACAATAAAAATATATTAAAGTAAAAAACATACATGAAAAGAACAAAGCAGTCCACAGAGATGAAGAAACGCAATAGATTTTGAACTGCGAGTTTTTATACTTATCCATATGGTATGCAAGTAGACGATAGGGTGGGTACAGAAGTTTATTTTCCTCTATCTGGAGTGGTATATATTACACTCAGTTTTCTAGTTATCAGAAAGAAAACACTTTAGTGTTTCATTTATTATCTGACTAAATATATTCAACCACTTCTAACCACAGGTCTCAAAAAAACTGAAAATGCTAAGTATTTCACAGCAAAAGCAAGAGAACTGCTAAAGGTGGTGTACCAAAAAAATGCCATCCACCTCAGATCACTTCATATACTGTTGTGATTTACAGTGAGGAATGGGAAAAAAGTTATGAAGAGATGCTAACATCTTCATCTTGTGAGTCAGTGAAGTGTAGAAATGTAAGGCTTTGGAAGGGATGGAATTTTTTATGGTCACAGAAGCTTTTCCTCTGGCAAAAGGATTGCCTGTGCTTTGCTGTTGCAGTCAGTATGGAAGCGTTCAGCAGTCCTTCAAACGAAATGGCATGGACCGCATTGACATTTTGTTCTAATGTCTGCTCACACCAATACATTTAATGAGCAGCAGCACGTAGGGTTTGCAAGTATTGCAGTAATCACATCTAAAACAAAGAGAGTAACTTCATTGAGAAAATAATGTAGTTTTGCCATTTCTCTTCCAGTTTACCTTGGCAAGCAGATATGATTTTTAAAATACAAAGCCCAGTCAGATTTTATTTTGGAAGGGATTCCAAAAAAGAGCCTTGTAAGGGTGAAGCAATATTCACAAACAAAGACAGGTTTTTTATTTTCTCTTATCTGAGTCAGAATTTTTCCCTCATTAACACAGCTTGAACAGTGAGCTCCTGGCCTTTCAGAATAATTCCACTCATGCTGTTTTAATGAATCATTCCTGGCTTTTTATTATGATTCTCATACAATTATATGCTCATAACAAAGATGCTAGAAGCACATTCCATTAAGCATATTCCATCAATGGCATTATTTGGCCAGCACCTTGAATCCTACATCTTCAGCGTGCAAGATGTGGCCCCAAGCTGTTCTGTTGCTTATAAGGAAATAAAGATTTAATACGTCATTTAATTATTCCTATATCATTTGGGGGAATTATAGCTCAATAGGTTAAACTCCTCTAAATATGGTATTTCATTTCCAAATATTGCTGCCTTCTTCATTTCCCTACCAATATCTTAATTTGGAATATCTTGTTATCATGCTTAGTTTTTATTATGTAGATAACTCCAAAAGTAATGCCTTCTATTTATTTCTATGGGAACTCCAAAAGATACAAAGAGCACAATAACATTATTCTATAGGGAAATTCTCAGCTACAAAACACTGTTTTCTGGTATAGTCACCACGCTGGCTATGCATTTTCACCAGTGATGAACAAGAGCCTGCATACCAAGCTCATAACAATATGCACTAGTGGAGGTGACCTGCTGTTGCTGTCACCACTGCTGAAAAGCACCACCCACCACCTCACTGTGCTCACACCCACTGTTTGATCTCCATGAACATTCAGCAAGCATCAGTGAATGTCAGTGGGTGCCATTTTTTCTGCATGGAGAAATTCAGTGGCACACCTTTGCTTCACACACACCTCCATGTCAGATGCCATTCAGTCAGAGTGCCCCTCTGCTGTCATCTGTCACATGACAACAAGATGCAATGGAATATTGCTGGGAAGGTTCAACCTCTATTGTCATACCACCAACGTACATCTCTGATGTCATGGACCAACACAACATAGGAGGCATTACTTTTGGAGCAGCCATTGTAAGTTATATTAAATACAAAGTCACATACTCATGGCTTGCTAATGCAAGAAGCCTGTTGCTGCAGCTCTCTGCCATTGTAAGAAACCTCTCACAATACAGAAGGAATAATTCTCACACCAGCTAATCAGCAACCACGAAGCAACAGTACTTATTTAGAATACAAAACTGTGTTTATATAGGCTGAGGTTGTAGGAGGTGGTTCTATTTTTCAGCATTAGGACCTGGCATAATAAGAATTCTGAATGACTTGGAGAATAAGCTGTTGGTGTAAGAAGTTTTACAGTACAGTTCACTCCTCTAAATATAATTAACCGTAGTTGATGTACATACTTTTTAAAAATAAAGAGGATATATAAAATTGATGTGGAATGTAGGTGACTTCAGGACTAGACTGAATGATGTCTTTCAAAATAGGGTATTTTTCAGATGCTTTATCATATACATTTTTTATGTTTTTTCATATTCATTCAACTTGTTCCTTGCTTCAACTGAAAGATAACTCCTCTTTAAAGTGTAATGTGTACAGCTGCTTTCTTTCTTGGACTACTGGAAAAGTCATCAGGTAGAAGAAATTCAGTGTGATCTACTAGACTCTCTCTTAGAAATGGGAGAAATGACATTTACTTTCCTGGTAATGTCTTGATTCCACCAGACAGAAGTTCCTGTTTTAGAATGCATACAGCCAACAGTTGAGTACCACAAACTCTTGGAAATATCTCTGTCAAGCAGAAACACTTCCATTCCACTTCAGCAGCTATAACAGTTCCTGTAATAACATGAATAAGCAAGAGATCAGGAACATGGCTGCATGTTCTATATTTTTTTCTTTAATGCAATTTATATAACTTATATTTTTATAGAATTTGCTAAACATATACATGCAGAAAATAAAGGAATAGGAGCACCCGGAATGGCGATGCTATTTGGGATTAATTTGTAACATAAATCACTTTTCCTGCATTCTCCCCATTACAGTGAGATTTGGAGAATGTGCCCAGTCACACGGTCACCCTAAGCTCATTCATAAGCGCCTCAGGTTAACTCATGTTAGAGTAGTAAAGAATTAGTTTCAAAACCCAATTCACCAGTCAGAGGAGTTGCAAACAAAAGCAATACTGAGAAAAAGAGACAAGTGTCAAGTGACCATGCAAAGGGATTAGGAGGTGGCAGCCTTCCCTGCTGCAGAACGTAATGTAGCTGAGTTTAAGACACTTGTTATAAAGAGGCCTCTAGGGACAAATTATAAGTGAAATAACAGCCTTCATTGTGAAGCACCTTGCTTGTCAAACATAAGTTATTTTCACACTATTTACATTGGCACCATTCTGGGAACAGACAGTAACAGCCTTTGCTTTTTAATAGCTTTGAAAATGCTTTATAGAAGTTTACTCTCATAATGAGGCTATTTCCCATCTCTGGATTTTGAGGGATTAGCTTCCTTGTTTTGCTTTGAATAGAGACCTAGTAATCCTGTAGAAACATTTTCTGCGTCCTGACCTTGGGACAATCTTTTTTCTTTCTTTACTGATTCCTAAAAGGAGTCTATCTACTCTCTTTTTGCAGTATTGTAGACAAAAATGCTTATATCTGACTCTTCTCTGCTATTCAGATTTTCAGCTTTGATACCATAATAAATTAAGGCCCAGTCTTCGTCACACTTACCACATCCATGTGATTTTCCTGCGTTATTACAAGAGCCTAAGTTCATTCTCCTGAGAAGCATCAGAACAAATGAGAGTGAGCACAAACTCATACAGCTGAGATATTTTCTAAAACAGATGCTCAGGAAGCCTTGCTGAGTCAACAGTAAACAATGCAACACCATAATGAGGTTGAGCAAGTGAAGGCATGTGGCTTGTTAAGTCAGAGATTTTTTATGCTCTTTAGAGCAGCACAGAGAATTCTGGAGGACACTGTCGGCACAGAGTAGTGGATGAAAATTCAAAAGCTGGATTAAGAAAATCTGAGGATAAAGGAACATAATATTTTTATTAAGAAAGAGAAATAGTAATCTGAAATGAGTGATGTTTTGAGTTTGGCCACCAGTACTCAGCCATCTCCTTGTGACATGGAGTTCTCTTGGCTGCCAAGCAGCCTCTGATTTGTGATAGCAAGGATGGGTGCGATGTGCTCAGTAAATCCAAGGATAAAACACTTTATCATAATGCTATAACAAAATTTTATCCTGTGCTGTGCCTTACAAAACACAGTCTTGGAAAGTTACAAGAAATGCCTAATTCTACTGCACTCACCTCTTTACAAATCTGTCTTGATCCCACATATATTCTCTGATTTCTCTCTTCATATGGTGCTGCTGGACTCTGCTATTATTAGTGTACGGTTAAGAAGTAATATAAATACTGTATTTATTACACCAGGAGTTTCTAATAATTATTAACAGTTTTGAAAATAAATTGTGTCTGCTTAGCTGAACAAGATATAACAGAGCTAACATTTTGTACTCCTAATAACTTTTGCATATAGTATGGTGTATATTTATTTCACACAAAATTCTGGGTTGTTATTTGAAACCCGAACTCAAAAAATGGACCAACTTTCTGAATACTTAGTTTCTGGCATTCAATTTCAGTATTAAAAGCATATATGATGTGCTAACTTAAATATATTAGAGATGCTGCTGTACTTTGTGTTGAAATGGATCTGGAGTTCTTGGCACCTTTGCTACTTTACACAATAAACACATGGGGATGATCTGACAAAGTCACGTGTGAAGAGTGGTCCTTTTCAAGGGAAGCCTAAGTGCATGACAGAGGGGCAATTAGGAGACAAGGGAATAAGAGCTTCCAGGTTCCCTAAGACAGAGAGATCATTTTATTATTACAGACTTCAGGGAGAACATAAAAATGATTAAGACTGATTTTGGCATTTGTTAATTTAGCCTTAGACAAGCCAAAAAATTAACATTTATCTTATTGATACTTCAAAAATCTGCATCTTGGATTAGAACGAGACACATGTTAGAAAATTGAAGTTAAGGAAATGGAAATTCCTTTATAATTTCAGGAATAAGCAGAAGATCTAACTTGGAGTTTCAGAGTTTCTTTTTCTAATGGAAAACACTTTAAGTGATGAGGAAATTCTTGGATTCGTTTGTTTGTTTTAACAAGATCCTGATGGAATTGGCATAGTCAGATTTCACTGAAATCATTTAAACTTGTTTTTGGACACACAGAGAAAGTAATTGGGGTACTGGCCGTAAAATAATTCAAGTCATAAAGAAAATAGGAATGTTCGATTTCTAATTCTCTGAAGTATACACCTTTTAAAAAAGCCCCAAACACTCATCCAAACATCAGAAGTATACTGAGGCTAAGTGAAACAGAACTAAACCCTTTTTAATTTCTTGTTTTCTTCTTCTTTCACCAGCCCCCTCCCCCTTCTTTTTTGATTCCAGATAGCAACCACAACGTAGTTTATAAATTAGTTGTATGTGAGTAGTCTACATGAATCATTTGGAATGGGACAGAGCTCATCACCGGGGCTTTAAATTACAATTGATGGGGGAAGGAGATGTACTACTGGGGAACAGAGGAGAGTCAGGGAACACTGTCACTTCAGGAAGCAGTTGGGGAAAACCTCAGATTAGTCCTGGAGGTTTGTGGGAAGACTCTTTCAAGGATGTAATGCAATTAAAAGCCCAGCTGAAGCCCAGCCTCTATACCAATGTGTATGCCTACCAGCATAGGATAAAAGCAGGAAACCATGATGCAATTGGAAAACTATGGTCTCATTGCTATCACAGAAACATAGTGACTCACATGACTGGAATATTAACACTGAGGGTTATGAGCTTTTCAGAAAGGATAGGCAAGGCAGGAGGAGGGGGTGAGAGGAAGGAGGTTGTCCTCTGTTAAGAGGTGGATAGCCTGCATGGAGCTCCCTCTGAGAAACAGTCAGGAACAGGCTGAGAGCCTGTAGGTTAAAATTAGAGACCAGACCAATAAAAGAGAGCTGGTGGTCAGAGTCTAATACAGGCTGCCTGATCAAGGGGAGCCTATTGATGAGGTCTTCTTGCTTCAGCTGCAAGAAGTCTCATGGTCATAGGCTCTCGTCCTGATGGGGGATTTCAACCACCCAGATATCTGCTGGGAAAACAACACAGCAAGCTGCAAGCAATCCAGGGGATTCCTGGAGTCCATTGATGACACTTTCTGGTTCAGTTATTGAACAGACTCATCGGAGGTGAAGTGTTGCTGGACATGGGGCTCACCAGTGTATAACGTTAAGATCAAAGGAAGCCTGGACTGCAGCAACCATATCCTGGTCAAGTTTGTGATCTTGAGGAATGTGGACCTGGCAAAGACTCTGAATTTCAGGAACCTCTCAGGTTCCTAAACTTATGAGAGGGTGTGGGGAGAGCAAAATCCCTTTCAGTACAAAAGCAGAGCAAGACTGACACCACCTCATGACATGTGAGATGAGGAGGTGATTTGAGACAGTTAGCATGGCTTCAGCAAGGGCAGATTGTGCCTCATCAATCTGGTGGTCTTCTATGATGGAG